AACTTAAAATAATAGCTTACAAGTGTCTGGGCAACTTAAAATAATAGCTTACAAGTGTCTGGGCAACTTAAAATAATAGCTTACAAGTGTCTGGGCAACTTAAAGCACATCAACTAACAGTTTTTCTAACAATTTTAGAAAACACATAAAGGCACTGCATTTTGGCCCAGTTCAGTAAATATCAAACTACTGTAACAGTTATAAAAATCAAACACGACTCCTGATTATATCACTTTTATTAGGCCTAGTAAGCCTCAGTGCTTTTTAAGCCACTGTACTATAAAAAGCTTCTTAGTTTTTAAATACCGTTTAAGAAGTTTACATACAACCTAAAAGAACATACTGGAGACTACAAGAACCTAAACATATACATGCAAAGTCTTAAAAAACAACTCTCACATTTTAAAATTCCACTTCTCCCTTCTAACACATGCATGTTTCTTGTTTAGTAAAACATACAGACAGGAACTTTAACACCTAAAACTATCATACCCATACTCCAGATTTTCCCTAAAGTTATGTCCAACTAAAGAGGCACATTTCTTGCAAATATTTAACACAGTGGTTCTTGGTTTCCATGTTTGAGCCAAGTAACTTATATTGTCCCCTCAGTTTGAAAAATATTTGAAGAGTAACATTTAACAATACTGATTCAAGAGATCAGAAGAAAAGTGCAACACCCCTCGGTTCAGAGGTGTTGAAAAGTGAGCGAGGATTGACATCTCGCTGTCACAAAACAAATCTAACAATCCAACATCATACACAGAAGGTTCTAAACGTAGGTTCACTGAATACTGGAATTAATACAACAAATATTTAGCTTATACTAGTCCAGATTTCACAAAACCTTAAAACCCTGTGTGAGAATTAAAACTGCTGCACTAGTTTCTTAGATATATATCAATGTTTCAACAACTTATAATTCACATCTTTACCTACAATCAATTTCAAAGAAAAAAGAATGACTCTTGCATGCATAGACTACTTTTCAATCCAAAATATGAAATCTACAAGTTCTTTGTAAGGGTCCTCTGGCCGACCGCTTGTCTCGAAGCTTAGTTCAGCCTACGCTGATGCCACTTTAACTTGGTTGGTACGTAGTTAGCAGAGCTGCATCCACAGGTTCCATACAAGAAGGGCAGGTAAATGAACGCATCAACCAGTCATCAATACAAGTCATGTGATAGGTATGTAAACAAGGTAGATATCTTATGGCATCACCAATGACAAATTCTCCCATACAGATTACACACCTGAAAAGTAACCATATATCACAAGTGCAAACGTTTAATCCACTCACTTGATTACTACGAGTCAATGTGTTATACAGAAACACCTTAATTAATTTATAACTTGTTTGTTTCAGTTCCAGTCCACAAAGTTAGCTCATTTAAATCCAAATTTATTAATACTTATTAGAACTAAAGTCCATTTCATATATATATAATAATAAAATAATAAAAATCTGACTAGTTACAAAATCTTGGATAGTGATATGGAATTTCTAATAAAATATCAAAGTCTAGACACTGTTATTAAGCAACTATAACGGTATAATGACTTGTCTTGACATAATTCATCTACGAGGAACTAATTGTACAAATTTAGATATTAAATCACTTGTTACCCGTTAGGATTGAAAGAATCTTAACTATTTAGCATCAAATTACAATTGTGAAACAGAAACTCCAATTTATAGGTTTAAAGCCTTATCATTTAGTGTTAAGGAAACATAGGTAGAACTATATCATTTAGTGTTAAGGAAACATAGGTAGAAGTAATAATTTTGCAATAAGGAAACATAGGTAGAACTATATCATTTAGCAATAAGGAAACATAGGTAGAACTACATCATTTAGCAATAAGGAAACAGATAGAACTACATCATTTAGCAATAAGGAAACAGGTAGATCTATATCATTTAGCATTAAGGAAACATAGGTAGAACTATGTCATTTAGCATTAAGGAAACATAGGTAGAACTATGTCATTTAGCATTAAGGAAACATAGGTAGAACTATGTCATTTAGCATTAAGGAAACATAGGTAGAACTATGTCATTTAGCATTAAGGAAACATAGGTAGAACTATGTCATTTAGCATTAAGGAAACATAGGTAGAACTATGTCATTTAGCATTAAGGAAACATAGGTAGAACTATGTCATTTAGCATTAAGGAAACATAGGTAGAACTATATCATTTAGCAATAAGGAAACAGAACTATATCATTTAGCAATAAGGAAACATAGATAGAACTATATCATTTAGCATTAAGGAATCATACGTAGAAGTAATTCTGATCAATAAAATACTTTAATCTTGGATGGAACAGAAACTGCAACACTGAAACTCTACTACCTAAACAATTCAAACTACTTGTTAAAATAATAGAGGGTTTTATAAGTTGATAAGCTATACGATTATTATCTTGCCACCATTAAGTATAGTGTAAACAGCCTAAGTAACATAGTTCAATAAATCCTCATAGAATAAGAGTTAAAAACAATTAAAAGAAGTTAGAACCATTTATTTGTTCTTAATCTTTTTTTTTTTTTTTATATAGAAAGCTGGTTATTTCTAATTAGTAAAACATGTCCCCTTTTTCTGATCATTTTCACTTCTGTATAAAACTTTCAAAATGATAGTCTAAGTTGCATTCTTAAAAGCACCTTATAATTTTAATGTAGTTTATTAACACTAGCAAAATATTTTTAAAAACATTCCTTAGATTTGATTTGTCTTTATGAAAGCTAAAAAAAAACGTACATAACATTTCACAAAACACACAATCTACCTCACTTATTTCAACACAATACATTCATCAATATAAAAAACAAAACTGAACATACAACCAAGAAACTGATAAAAAACCTATTTCAGCCCTTCCTTTTCCATCTTTACCTACGGTGAATGTGTTAATAGACCAAAGCTATGAGAAATTTGTTTTCTTTTTGGAATGACAGTTGTTTTTTTTATCAGTATTAATTTACTACACTTCTGTTTCGAAGTAGAGGATTAAGGCTTCAGTTTAGTGTACATCTCAGTTGTAGGATTAAGGCTTCAGTTTAGTGTACATCTCAGTTGTAGGATTAAGGCTTCAGTTTAGTGTACATCTCAGTTGTAGGATTAAAGCTTCAGTTTAGTGTACATCTCAGTTGTAGGATTAAGGCTTCAGTTTAGTGTACATCTCAGTTGTAGGATTAAGGCTTCAGTTTAGTGTACATATCAGTTTCGCCAATTCCCTTCTGATTTGAAGAGTTTCTTTGAACTTAAAAACTTTTTTTCTAAACGTTTGTGTAATTTAGTCTCAAAACACTACATTATCATCAATATTTTTAATTAAGCTTTTTTGTTCTCCGAGATTGGTCAACTAAATAGTCTGCTGTCATCTTGCTTTTCTTGTTCCAAGTTTAAAACATCCTTACAAAACACAGCAAATTATAAACCCAATTTCCACTAATAGATTTTGTCTTAATTTATCTTTAATCTATAAGTACGTACATGTTATAATAAGTAATATAAAGATTACTAATAATACTTACTTGTAACATATTTAACTACATGAATTGTCTGAATTGACATAAGCACATATTTTATTTTATTTTCTTTCCCACGGGAGAAATTAATTCTGACAAAGTCATGTGACACCGAACACATTATAACTATCTGGACTAAAATACCAACATTTAGAAGCATCAGCTACAATCTTAAAACTTGAATTCTGACACTAGTCGATAGTAAATGTTTCAGTTATAATAACCATTCTATTGGAAATGTGAAAAAAAATAAGACTTAATTTTCATTTCTCAATGATAAGCGAGTAAGGACAGCCTTTATAGATCAAACAGTCCTTTGGTGTCTGTAGATTATTTTATATTTAAGAATGCATTTCAACAGATACAAAACTTCCTTGTGGAGCATGCTAAACTAAAATCAGTGTAAAGCAGGAGAAAGAATAAACATACACACAAGAGATAGAGTAACCATAATAGAGAAAATAACCCAGAAACGCATCTTACAATACAGGCTATTACCCATCAGACAATAAAACAGATTCAAAAGCAGTTTTTTTCTAAAGCCCCATGGGGTTAGTTGTTAATAAAATAAAGTTTTTTGTACTTTTTAGTATCTTTCTTTCTTGAGCTACACTTCTTAGTTCTGCTGCCTCCTCATCCTCAACATTAATCAGTCCTGAAAAACCACAAGTTTCAAGTCGACCATATCATCTAATCTGATTGGACTGCGCTTGAAACGTTTTGATCTTTTTTTTTTAACCAAGTTTTATTTTGTAGCAATTCACACAAATCCACATGGTTTAATCGATTATGGACCCACGAAAAAAAAACCTCAATCATATTTCTTCTGTCTCAGATAGGAATAATGGAAGAGTGAACTTTAAAATTAGTATTTCAATACTTATTCACTTTCTTTTAGTATTGGAATGAATAATAGTCAGGAAAACCTGACAATGAAACTAATTATGATCCAAATGAATAAATAATTTTGAAAAAGTTCATACCTTGTATCTATCCCTAGTTTACTTGTGAGAAACATCTACAATGCACATGAGATAACTGTCACTCTTTACACTAAGAAAGTGGTGATTTAAATGTTTATTTTTCTTCACTTATATAACTCTGCTTAAGATAGATGAATGTTAAAAGGGTTACACCATTTAATTGGTTTTTCTAATACAAAATATAGAGAACACTATGGAAAAGAGAAGATGCTGGAAAGATATGCTCTTAATGTTATAGATTTTTGAAAATTATTTAATATTAATATTATAATTTGTAATGATTTGGGTTAAAAAACAAAAGATTAACTAGATTTAATAAGATTGGTAAATAAAAGCAGTAGGGTTAAAGTTTTAAATAAGACCTTAGTAGTATCATCTGTACTACAATGTTAGATTAGGCTTAAGACGTGTAATTGTACTTTCAGGCTTAGCTGTAATTCATCTTACTGGCAAATTGTAAAACAGGTTTAAAAAATTGTTTTATTAAGCAAATACAATTTAAAGACTGGTTAACTGTCTCTTTGTATTTTAAAGATTACATTGTTTACTTGAGTTTAATTTCAATCCATTAGTTTATAGGTCATAAATCAGGCTAAATAAAATGTATTATTACTATTATTAATAGTATTAAATAAACATCAAATAAAGTAGAGACTAATTACTTGTCACTGCTATATAATTAAAGATAAACTTAATTAATTTAGTGTGAACATAAAAGTAGTGATAAACTGTAATGTATTTGATTCTAAAATGTTATGCTTAACAATAACAGTTGTGGCAATTGGCTAGGATACTTGTGTTTAGTATCGAGTATTTATTTCCAGGCTACAAATACAATGGTTAAGACTAGTGTTGGACATTAGCATTAGGTGTGATGGGTGCAATTAGAGGACTGTATTTTGAAACGGGACTGGTGTTTACTTTTAAGGAAGCTAGTTGTGAAGATTTGTAATTTGTATGTATAGTTTATTGGTTTGAGGAGACGTTGAAGGCTGTCCTAATTAACACAGAGGCAACAGATAAAAAGAAGGGTAAACAGTTGGAAATGGTAGCAAGATTAAAAAAGGAGCTTAAGCTTTTACATATAAGGGATGCGTCGACTATTGACGACTAACAATGACTTTCAGGATTAAAGTATTGGATTTAGTTGTGATGAGCCTATTCTATTGAGTAACAAATTTTAGCCCTTGGCTTGAGCAGATGAGGAACTATTGGAGGGAAGGAAAACAAAAGGGTCAGAGAAGGATGTGGATGATGAGGTTATAGTTATAGGTGATTCCTTCACAAGGCATATGGATAGAATAGTCTGTGGTGTAAATAGGGAGAAAGAATTAGGTTATGCTACCCAGGGGAACAAGTGGAGGGTACAACTGACAGAGCAGGAAATATAATAAAGGGGTTATCAGAAATGAAGTTTTTGTTATGCACATAGGGGCTAATGATGTAGGAAATGTAGATAAGAGGAGCTAATTAATAAGTACAAGTGGCTGATAAAGGCATTTAAAGAAAATGGCCACAACTTAATTGTGTCAGGGATACTGCCAAGAATTAATTGTGAGGATGAAGTTATAAGTAGGTCACTAGGGCTAAATACTAGGTTTAGGTTTGTATGTAACGATGAGCAGATTGGCTGGTTGGACTTGTGGGATCAGTTCAATGGAAAAAGGAATGGATGATTTATATTTAAATAGTATAGGGGCTGGCTTGTTCGTTAGGACTATTAATTCAGCAGT